GTTAGCCCTTCGCTGGTTACACCCGAGATCGTTCTGCCTCCCTCTATACTAGATGAGATAGAGATCATGTTCCGGGTTCAGGATAAGGATGGTGATGGGAGAATAGATGCAGCAGAGCTTGCTGATGTCTGGAAGGATGCACTAAGGAAGGGTGCTTCTCGGCACAGGTACATATCCAACCTTACTATACTAGCATACCTATCAGGCAGATCTATCGATGCAGGGTTGATGGCTAGTGAGGTTGCACGTACGTTGGACATTATGGATATCGATGGTGATGGCACTGTTGATCTAGAAGAGTTCAAGCATGCTATGCTGGTCAATGGTAGCAGTCTCACTTGGGGAAAATGCTGACTCCACTGTAGGTACTATGCCTCACCATCTTATGGAGGTCAATGAGCTCCTGCGTCGAAAGCTACAGAAGGATCCTCTTCTACTCCATGACATTATTGACGAATTCGTGTAGGTGGTAGTACAACTCGTGAGGAGGCTTCCTATTCAGGCGGCTAGACACCAGCGGTGTAGGTATCCTCTCGTATCAAGATATCTATGATGGATTACTATCTCGCCTTGGTGACGATGGCAAATCTAAGGTGAGCAATGGCAGCAGCCGATAATGAGTAAGTCTTGTAGATAGAGGCATTGAGAGATATGGATCTGGATGGTAGTGGGTCCATCGACTATTATGAATACCTTTACTATACGTTGGGTAGACGTAAGGAGAAAGTTGAGTTATTATTGTAGGATCACATCACTGCTACATGTTCCTACGATGATATCAGTTATGATATATCCAACGGTGCCTCTAGGACCTTGGGCCCAATACTATTCGGCCATAGAGTTGAGGGTATCTGGCATACAAGCATAGTCGCATTCAATAAGGAATGGTGGTATGGTGGCAATGTGAGCGCACCACCACCATCATCATCATCACCAGGTCTATCGCAGGTATTCCGTAGTGTACCGGAGACCACACCCTTTGGAACGCCTATCAAGCGTATCCAACTTGGCTACACCCTCCATACTCAGCGAGAACTCTATAATGTGAGAGCCATTACTGGCCCACACAAGGAGTACCATCCTTCTTAGGTGCTAGTGGAAAGGCTGTCCTTGGAGTACACTCCGGAGAGCTATGATGTTATGACCAACAACTGCAATAACTTCACTAATGATGTGTCGATGTTCCTACTACACAAGGGTATTCCACAAGACATATTAGAC